AGAAAAAGTGTAGAGTCTACACTCAGAATACTGGAAGAGGAGAATTTTGGACCCAAAGGATCATTCATGATGCAGATGCTTTACTGTCCTCTTGAGGAAACTGGGATCCCCAGAATTTAAGCAACCTGTCCAAGGGCACACAGCCAATAAATAAATCTCTAAGAAAAGAAAAACCAGAGGGCAGCACTAGGCTTTGTCACTGCACCATACTTCACCTACTCCCACCTCAAATCAGGAGCCAGACTTTAAAATTTCCTTTGCCAAAAATCTACTGGATGGAGCAGGCTAATTACAAGGAAGAAGGAAGGAACTGATTCATTCCATTTTTACAAAGGGAACTATTCTGTGTGGTTTGTCTATTGCTGGTTCACGTGCCTTAGCTGAAATTAAAAATGCCAAGGCACAAAGATATAAGGACCAAACATGTCATTTTAAGCTTAGGTGGTCAAAACCCTCAACGGAATCCGGACACTTACTGGTGAACTCTCTCCTACCTCGCAGGGGTCCAGATGCAAGGCCTCTCTTCCCTCACAGGAAAGCCCTCACAATGCCTTAGGAGACCGGGAAGGGGGAGGCTTCATCTTGAGACTTTACAGGAAAATTGAGCGGTAGTCCAGAGTCCCACAATAGTGCACTGCGATGCTTCATTTGGAGCCCTTGAATTCCAGTTCAGACTCACTTTCTAGCTTTATATCATCAGAATAGCCCTAAAGGTTTTTTTTTGTTTTTTTGTTTTTTTGTTTTTTTTAAATGACCTGGGAGAGAGCAATGCAGGAGTTGGCCAGGCCACCTGCACTGGCTGACACACCAGCCAGCGACACCCAGAAAAATAGGAAGAAGGAGCAGGAATCTAACTGAGGGCTTCCAGGAGCCTGCAAATCCTCCTCCTCCGCCTTAGCACCCAAGTTTCTTCGTAGATATAATAAAATTTTCTTTAAAATGTAAGATTTATAGAAAGTTCCACTCCATCCCCCACCTCAGGCAAGCCCTTAAATATAGCTATCCTGTGGGAAACGGTGCTGCGATCACAAAATTCCCAAAGAAAACAGGGAGCTGCGATCACAGGTCGCAGACCCCGATTCGCGCGGCTTGCAGAGCCTAGACTTCCTGCCCCAGCACTCTGGCCTGGCGCGGGAGGCGGCGGGGGTCAGGGACCTCAGTGTTCCAACGCACTGTCTCCACGTCTCCCGAGAGTAGGCTGCAAACGCAGCCTCCAGCCGCTCCAAGGCGCGTGGCAGGAAACGGCACGGTGGCAGAAAGGGGCAAGCCTCAAGCACGAGATTTACAAAAGCAAAAAGTCTGCAACCTAGCGGCTGCTTTTCACACGCCGTACTCAAGTTGTCCCTGTAGTCGCCACCGCCAGGTTCGCGGGGTCCCGCCCCAGAACCGAATGCTCCGGGTGCAAAAGCATAACCCGGGGCCCGGGGAACGCCGCAGCCTTCGACTCGTGTCCACGGGTGGCGCCGCTAGCAGAGGCGGCAGCGGGTCGGTTCCTAGCTCTGGGGCACAAAGAGCACCCACGGTTGGAAAGCAGCAGCCGCAGAGCAAAGAAAAGGTTCTCCAACTTTGCCCTCGGCGCGGCTGAGAACCTGCGGGCCAGTCCTCCCGTGCGCCGGTCACACACGCGCAACTTTTAACAAAAGGAAGCAGCGGCCGCGCCTCGCACTGCGGAGATAACGCGCTGGGTGCAAACCCCCGACCCGCCCGCCTGTGCCCCGCGCACCCTCTGCACAAAAGCAACCCCAAACTTGCATGCAGCCCGCGTCCTCAGCCTTCACCTCGCTCACGCCTAACCTCGCTTGCTACCCTCAAGCCGGGGAGACCCCAGTTCAGGGTTCCCAACCCCAGCAGCTGGGGGCTCCTTCCGCAGGTGAGCGACGCTGGACGCAGGAGTGTCCCGGGGAAGCTCGAATGTTCTCCGAGGCTGAAACGCACCGGCACTGGGGGCCGGCGGCCACCTCTCCTGACACACCCCAACGAGTTGGAGCCCTCGGGGGCACAGGCGGCGGCGGGGGGCACGGCCCCGGTACCCGTCGCGCTCTCCCACCTGTCTGGAGGCCGAGCAGGAGGATCAGGACGCAGAGGAAACCCCAGGCACCGCGAGCGCTTCTCATCGCGGAGGCTGCTCTGGGATCGGAGGACCGTTCCACGTTCCAGCTCTCGCCCAAGTGCACCGAGCGCGGCAAAGCCGAGCCCCCAGAGCCGCGAGCGCGGAGCAGCAGCCCCTCCTCCCAGCGCCCTCCCTCTGCGCGCCGGCCACGCCCCTTCTCGGCGCCCCTCCTCGCCTCCCCTCCCTCCCTTTCTCCCTCTCGCTCCCTCCCTACGGCGTCTGGCCGCAGCTCTTTTGACCTGTTAATCTCGGAGGAGGGAGGTGGGGGTAGCTAAACCGGCAGGGAGGAGGGCACCCCAGCCTTTACCGCCCGCTCCCGACCTCAGAGCCCCTTCATCTCTCCACCTCGCCTCCCCTCTGATGTGGTCGGGCCGCTAGAAGCGTCTCCGGGGTGGTGCTGCCCACACGCTTTGTTAAACTGGGCACCACGCTCACATTAGGTCCTCAGCCGCCACCAGGCAGGTGTTCCCCAGACAATAAAGGTCCTTCCCGGCCCTCGAACACAATCCCGAGGGAGAAGGGTGGACGTCGCTGGTGTTGGAGGTGGTGCGGGGGCAGGAATAGGGGTGGGTGGTAGGTGTTGGACCTCAATATTCTCCATTCCTGTTAGTCGGGGGCAAGTGTGGCGGCTGGCACCGCGGTAAAAGGCTGAGCCACGACGTAGATAATTCATACTCGGTTTCTCCACCTGCTCCTTAACCTGTTAACCACACAGTTGGTTTCTATTGGTCGCAGTAGACTCCGCCCAACAAGCTCCTGCTGAGACTTTTCTGGAGACTGGGGCTTTGGAGTGGGGAGGGGCGCCTTGCGAAGTTCACTCTGGGAACTGGAGTTTGCAAACCGTTTTGCACCAAAGTCGTTGTACTACGCCTTTTGAGCGCCTTCCCCCCACCCCCTTCCTTTATGGCTTCTCTGCCTGTCGGACGATAGTTACAGGGGTGGGGATCTTGGGGTTCTTAGCTGCCCTAGCCTGTACCGGGAGCAAAATAATAGTAAAATGACTCTCAAGACAGGTTCCACTGCCTGGGAAACGCTTTATCCAAGGTTAACAACAGTATCTGTATAGGGTTTTATGGTTCCTCCTTACGCTGAATATTATTTCATGCTCTCAATAACAGCTTCATAAGATAGATAGAGCCGATACGTTTATTATTTTAGTTTTAAAAGTGGCCCAAGAGGGGAAACCCAGTCATTTTACGACTAACTACAGGTATAATGAGCCTTTCCTATGCATTCTAATAAACCAGTAAAACACTTCTCCAGAGAGCTTAAAAATGGAAAATAAATGGGAGGTACCCATCAGAAAAGAGCGATGGAACATTTTAGATGCACCTAGACTCTTCTCTAAAGTAGCATACAAAATTTATAACTAATCAGCCCCCCCCACTTTATTTAATACTGAAAGCCCTCCTCTTTGATGTTAATAGGACCTAAGTTGGTTTAAGAAAAAACATTTTCAAAGCTAATCGCTTAAAAATTATCACCACTCTAACAATATGTATGATTGCTTCTCTTGAAATTTATTTCTTTCTTTAACAAGCATTTAAGTGTCTACTGTGAACGAGGAGGCACTAGGAACTGGAAGTACCATTGTTAGTAGACAGATGTGGGCCCTATCACAATCTTTATAATCAAGTGTGGGAACCCACACACCAATGTCCTAGCAAAAAGGTCAAGTCATCAGCTATGGGAGAACTGAAATTCAAAGTTCTCTGTGCTCTGGGCCGTTGGACCGTACCTTTTTCTTAGGATAACAGATAAAAGCTACCACTCAAAGCAATCATAAATTTCTGGGATCTTGATTTATTTCTAAAATCTATTTTGTAGTGAGAGAAAAAAGTCACTGTGGGTTAAGATACCAACAATATACCTGAGAGAAAATTTACAATTTTCTTCTTCAATCAACTGATATTGGAGAGGATAACAAGTCTTCAGAAGAGTTGGTGAAAATAGACTATATTCCAATTTAATTCTAGGCAGGAAACTTCTATCAGGAAAAATACCAGAATAGGGAATTATACAATGCTAGACAGTTATTCATATTCACCATTCAACAAACATCTATAGAGCACCAAGGTAGGCACAAGACCTACAAAAAACCATTGAGACAAAGTCCTTGCCTAGGGGAATTCACAGTTTGAGGCGGAGGGGAATATACCCAAATAAGAAGCTATAATATCTGCTATCATGGCTCGTGTGCAGCCAGTACACACCAAGTTGGCTATATTGATTAGTAGAATATTGAAATCCTTCCATACTCACTGGGGGGGAAAAAAAGCCATTCTCCTACCATCTAAGTGCCCCTTCACTGCATCCTTTTTCTTGAGATACCCCCAAACTCCTCAGATCTAGCAATTAAAGGTTTAATACTAGGCAGAGCAGAGAGCCTCCAGTCTCTGTGCCTTTAGGGTTATTAGCTATTTTTAATAATACCCCCTGCCAGCTATGTACTAAAAGACATCTAGAAGAAGCTAGGAGTGAACTGCTATAGGAGTGAAATATTTTAGTCATGTCCAACAGACACATTTACAGTAGTGGAAACATTTTATAACTCAGGTGGAATGTAAGGGACCAGTTCTGTACTCTGTTCTTTGGTTCCCTTGCACTCTTGCATGAATTACACTTTATATTTGTATTGTTTTTATAATTATATTAATTTTTTAAAATTTATTTATTTTAATTTAGTTTCAAGTATACAGTACATTGGTTAGACATCTATATAGTTCATAGAACAATCCCCCCAATTGCTCCCTCCCTTCCCTGGCCCTCCACATAGCCAACGTATTAATGCTAACTACATTCCCTATGCTGTGATCCCCACGCCCGTGACCAGTTACTAATTTGTACTTCTTTAACCCTTCACGCCATTCTCCCAGCCCCTCAACCCCCCTCCCCTCTGTCTATCACCAAATTGTTCACTATATTTGTGAGTCTGTTTTTGATTAGTTTCTTCTTTTTGTTCCTTAGATTCTACATATAAGTGAAATCATATGGTGTTTATCTTTCTCTGTCTCACTTATTTCACTCAGCATAAGAACCTCTACGTCCATCCATGTTGTTGCAAATGGTGGGATTTCATTTCTTTTTAATGGCTGAGTAATATTCCAATGTACAAATGAACCATAATTTCTTTATCCCATCATCTGTTGATGGGCATTTAGGAGCCAGAGTTGGTGTCCCTTTATCCACATCATGAGGCCATTCTTAATGGAGAGGTATGTGTCCCCCCAAAATCGTGGTACTCTCTCACAGGAAAGAGGAATGATGCTACATGAATAGAACAAAAGATGTTCACTTATAGTCTCGCTTGACCCAAATCTCTAACTTAATTTTTTTTATGTTTCTGATTGTATAAGTAAATATGCTTATTGTAGAAAATTTAGAAAATCCTCAAAATTATAAAAAATAAAACAAAACAAAATCACCCAAGATACAATTACCGAAGGGTTCATTTTGGTACGTTTCTTTCAAATCTTTTGTCCTGCTTATTCTAAAGGGTTATTTTTTCTTTATATAATTTAAGACTTTAATTGTAAAGTTGTCTATCCAGCTTTTTCGCTAATCATAATATAAGCATCACCCCAAATCATTAAATTTTTTTGGAAACATGATATACAATAGCAATATAATGTTCAATTGTATATATGTACCATAATTTTGGATATTTAATCATTTCTCTATTTTTTCCAGTTTTTTTCCTACATAAATTGCTTTGTGATGAACATCTGGATGAATAAAACTCTCCTACCTCTGATTATGTATTTAGGATAGATTCCTAGAAGTGGAATTACTACAACAAGGGTATAATCCTTTTCAAACTTTTTACTTAATAGTTTCTATTTTTCCAGTAACCATTAGAACTGTCTAGGCATTGTCAGTTGTCCGTAAAGTGGGAGAAACAACTATATGATCCTTACTCCTAGATTCTATACTAACAATAACCACCTCACAGTTTTTGAGGATGAAAGAAGACCATGTGTGCTCTTAGTTCAAGCTTTCATTCAGTATTGATTGAATATCTTCAATGTACCAGATATGCTACAGGTTCTGGGAATGCAAAGTTAGACAAAACACGGATGCTGCCCCCCCCACCCCTGGGATTTGCAGAGAAAGAAGAGAGATGCATAAGGGTGTCAAAGACTACATTGTTACACATACTTTAAGAGAGCTCTATGCATAGGGTCATGTTTGAACACAAAGGAGCACCTAAATCATATCGTATAGTGATCTCATGAGGCTCCCCCAAAGAGGTGACAATTAGATTCTGAGAGATCAGAAGAGCAGGGAAGAGAATGTACAAGGGTAGGAAGCATACATGCAAAGGGAGAGAAGCATGAAACAGCATGAGGAATAGAAAGAACCACAAGTAGTGGCACAGTTAGGGAAACAGGGCCCATAGGGGAAGGGGAGAGTTGAGATCATGGAGATAAACAAGAATTACTTGTGCCAAGAAACATGAACTTCAGCCTCTGAGCTATGAAGGGTCACTGGAAGACTTTACACTGGGACCAGATGTGATAAGATTTACATTCCGGAAAGAGGGTGGAGAAGTTCAGTAAAGGATGAGTTGAAAGGGGTCAAAACTTGAGGCAGAAAGAAAATAGTAAGGAGCCTAATGTGGCGACCCATGGGAGAATGTAAACTGCATTAAGTTTGTAGAGGTAAGAATGGTGAGAGGGGATGAATAAGAGACATAACTAGGCCTTCCTTGATCACTAAGAGTATTGGGGAAGATGAGTGGGAAGAGGGACTACAGGATGGTCCCCAAATTTCTGGTGTAAGCTACAATGTGCATGCCTTCAGCAAGACATGGACATAGGTTTATAGTGGAAGGTGAAGGATTTGGAGTTGAGCCTGTTGGGTTTGAGGGGCTCATAAACTTCTCCAAAGCTTGACATGCAGGCCTGGAGCTCAGCAGTGGGCCAGGCGCTAGGGAGGGGGCTGTAGCCAAGGATTTGGATGGATGAGGTCGAGAGAGAGAGAGAGAGAGAGAGAGAGAGAGAGAGAAAATATACCATGAGGAAAGCAGAGG